GTCTCATCTCAGTAACTACTGTAATGGAATGTCCTATAAATGACAAGATTTGGAACTGGAAGAAGAAGCCAAGGCAGCATAAACAATGAAATTACCTTCTGTATGTGAAGGTGCGGGTGTGGGATTTACAGGGGTTAAACTGAGCTGAGGTGAACTTTAAAAAGGCAGGAAGTCGAGCTCTTCGTTCTATTGCCCTCAGGCATTGTATTTGATACAAAGAGTACGTGTGTGTGTGTGTGTGTGTGTGTGTGTGTGTGTGTGTGTGTGTGCACACGCACGCATGCATCACAACAGGATGTCAGAGTAAATGGGGAAAGTGAGATACATTGCAGCAAGTAGTAACAAGTAAACGTCCCAAATGCCAAACTGCAAGTTTTCTTTCCAGATACAAACTGGCTGAACAGTCCTGCAAACGGAATTAACAATCCATCCAACTCTGGCAGGCCGATGTACGAGACGCTGCAACATTTTCTGTTTAGCTGTGTGTGTAGCATTATTGTATCTAATTTTCCCTCGAGACACTTATTAAATTGCTTGTTATTTTTCTGTTCAAAACTGGATACGCTTTGCTTTAACGCGGTTCCAGTGAGGTCGATTCGGTCACCCGAGCATTTCATTCCGGTCTTTCACAATGACATTGGGTTAGTTTAGCAATTAGCATGGCTCCTAAATCTTTGCCTCTGTTAATTACTCCTTGTCATCCCATCGTGGGAATGATACTTCAAAGAAATGTAGCGCCGCCCTGGAGGCTGCAATTACTGACTGAAGAGTGAAACCGCAACGTGTTTACCAAGCAGTAGTGGCTAGATGAAACTTGTTGCTAAATTTCCTATGAGCGGCGTCTCGCCTTGACCTGCCGACTACCCAGCTGCAGGTGACAGAAGCAGCCCAGCAAAGCTTCTTGAGACGTTCTTGGCCATTCCAATATATTTTTTTTTGTTGTATCAATGAGGCCCACAATGCAAACTGTTTGTGTCATTTGAATGCATACACAGGATGCCTTGAGGGACCTTTTTTCTTTTTTTATGGGGCGTGGGGGTTGTTTTATTTTCCAAAAGTAGTAATATTCAATATTTGCATTCACCGACATCTTTCTAAATTAAGACTTGACTCTTATTTATTTTTGCGTACGTTTATAATGTAGGATAACTATGTATGTGTTAATATGATTCACTTCCATGTACTGTTGTTCAGTGTGCCACCTAGTGGCAGCTATTTGGCCGAAGTTCGTTAATAAGAGATTTTCCCCATTAAATCAACGTTCCTATGGAATTCTTATGACACACAGTTTGCTGCAGATGACAAATGACGATAGACAAGTCGCAGACAAGTGACACAATAGAAACTTTAATCTGTATATCATCTTCACGATATGGGCCCGATCTATGTGGTATACAAAAAGAAAATATGAAGATGATTTCAAGATTATCCAATACCCGAAAAGGAACCACCTACAATTTCAATATAGCAAAATAAATTAACAGTACAATCAAATTATAATCCCTTGCTGGTTTACATTTTATCAACGGCACTACATGCACTCGTTATTTTACACTTTTAAGTTGTCTTAAACCCCACCAGTGAACTACAGAGCTTCAACGAATCACCATGTCCATTCCACAGTTTTACACCCAAAACTGAAACATATTTATTTCATGACGGTCCTCATTTCAGATGGTTCAAATTTAACTAAACCTATTAAATGATAATTTTCTTCTCGCAATTTGGCGAAAATCTGAGTACAAACAACATTCATTTTAATTTTAGTTTCTTCAATGTTTCATTTGAAGACCCAAAACAGGTTTCTGAAACAATCTAGAAGTGTGAGTGATTGCAGATGTGTGACAAAGTGTTGCAGTCAGTGTGTTTCACAATACAGTATCGTCCTGACAGCACCACTCTCTCACCTGTTGGCTCTTCCCTCAGCTCCTCAGCTACACAAGTGGGGTTCTTACAAAGTAAAACACGTTCACCAAACTGCAGTGCATTGTCAGACTGATCAAATACAAGCGTGTTATGTAAACACGTTGAATGCCCGACGGGGTTTTGGTCGCGCGCAAGTACCTGTCAATCGAGCTCGTGTCACTTGTTGTCAGCCCTTGTTCCGGTGTGCCTGACAGCCCAGCACGCCTGCTCCAAACTGACGACGACTGACGCATTGGGTGTTTTTAGCGTCAAGACAATGCCCGAATATATTCCCTACTCAATATGTCGAATTGTTCTGTAGTACGTCGTGTCCCAAAAGACTGCGTTAAAGCGGCTAGCGTCAGTTCTGTGGCGTCTTTGTACCGTTCAAAGATCGTCTAGGTCTAAATGTTGAGACATACCACAATGTGAAAGATTCACGAACCTACAGATAGTGTTCAATGCATCATTTAACCTTTTTTTAACCATACGTATAATTTCAAATATGACACAGTGACGGCATAGCACACCGAATTGTATTCCCACTTTAGTGTATTATCTTATTCGGTTTGGGCTATTTTTGTAATCCAAGTGGGAAGTTAGTGTCGTATACACCTTCTTTGATTTGTATTCACACTTCGTCCCACTCTTAAAGAGACACGCCAGAGTTCCCCCCCCCTTTTATTACGACTGAATGCAGTTGAGATATAGTGTTCACGTTCACGTTAAACATTAAAAAAAAAAAAACAAACAAAAAAAACCTTTGATATGTATTAGGTATTCACAACATGTCTTGAATGGAGGTTTGACTATATGACAACAAAAGTGGCTGTCCTAGAGTCTAAAAACTTTAGGTAGGCCTAACGTGTGGTTTACTATAATTTCGATGAATAATAAATGACAGCAATAATAACACGGTGAGGAATGTCATTAACACGACAGTCCTCAAGTTCTGAGCTTGAATGGCCGAAGCTCAATGTATTCCCCATACTGCCTCCCCTTCCACGTTAAAAAAAAGAAAAAAAAACATGCACGTTAGGTTAACGGCTGATTCCGAATTGCCCACAGATGTAATGCGACTGTGAATGATCGTTTGTCATCTGTCAGTGATTGAGGACACGCCATTTCCCATTCATTTTCTATACCGTTTATCCTCGCTCGGTAGCACTTCGTTCACTTCATGGAAATAATTTCGTTTACTTTGTCTCCATCATGTGGCCAAAACGATATTTGTTTTGCTGACTCGAGTATTTCCCTCCTGAGTAGAAGCTGCAAAATGTACCTGTATATCTGGTGGAGGTGAAAATTGCAACGTGACAACTTACACGTGTGACAACATTTGCATTTATCATTTAGGAATTACAGCAAATTTACAGAGAGGAATTCCCGCTTCAAAAAGTCATAAGTAGGCTACTCCAGATGAATACTGTAATTGACTAGAGGCTCTTTGTCCAGATGCAGACGTGTATTCCCAAGACCACTCGTTCAAGATGAATGAAATAGCTCAAAGAATGCTAAGAGCGATGTGATTGTTTATTGCAGAGCAGAAATGAAAAATGACACACAAACTTGCATTCATTTGGAAAATATGTTGCCTACTGTGAAAAAATACATGTATATCTTCAAAACACATTATTTTGATTTTCAAATGATCATTGTATCCATTTAATCAGCGCATAAGCTAATGGCCAATCCTTAAGCACTGAACAGCGGATCGTTTTCAGGTTAGTCAGCTAAAACAATGACACAATTTCGACTTTAATTTGGGGTATGTAAAGCACAATCATTTCAGTTCTTCTCTGATGATGAACACCAACAACATTAGCAACTGTAAAACTGCATCTGTAACTTTGATTTAGCTCAGAACGGGTGTGAAGGCGTCTTTGAATGGGTGGCCAAAGACACAATACATATAAATGGAAAAAAGGAATAAAACCAACATCCTACACTCTTGGAAAACCACCGGTACAAGAACTTGCAATGCATTCATGAAGCAAAAGGCACTTTTTAACACAAACGCACCCAGAACGATTTGTTTTCCTCAAGGGCCAGGTGGGTGGGTGTCACATCACTTCCACATACATATCAACGAAAAATCAACATACATTTTGATTTGTAATGGGGACAAAGGCTGCTGTAAGGAACCCAGAGTGCAATTTAGCCATTCATATGCCTCACCATAATCCCAAAACAGATTGTGAAAACAGTTTCGGGAAAACTGTAGGCACAAAGGACGTGGGAAGAAAGTACTCACATAAGGACACATCAAAAAGATCTGAAGTTGAGCGAGACAATGAATTGTGATGCTGATCTAATTTACGGAATATATACAAAAATGATGGGAAACACTGCCCCCGACAATATAAACATCCACCCCTACAGTGAAATATGGAGGGCACTGCCTCCGATACGGACACACACCGGTAGGCAAAAACTACCTTGTTGGTTTCCACATTATGGAAGACGCTGCTTCCGATAATGGTAGCAGGATGAGAAGTGCACATGTGAGGCCGAGTTTGGATGAGCAGCTTCGATTCAGCCTCAGCGGAGAACTCTTGCGTGCGCTCAGTGCTAGCTTCTCTTAGCAGATGCTGCTTTTGTCATTTCGACAGTATAACTGTCATAATTATGGAAGGCACTGCTCCCGATAATTACACGTTTTCTATAAAAGGCAATTAAAAAATATTTGTAGTGAACCCTGTCACTGATAACTAAGTAACACAATAAATAGACTTCGGTTTCACGGCCACCTGGTAAAATACCCTCTCCCTTTTTTCTTTTTTTTTTTTTGCTTAATTGTAAAAATTGTAATTTTTCTGACTTTTCAAATTTTGTCTCACGTTGTTTTGGTTTATTCTTAATGATCCGTGCGGCAAATGTATCAAAGGACGCCATTCACGATATGCTCTCGCTGCGATCGACGGACCTACCGTATGACCTGCGAGCATGAGGATATTTCTGCACAGTAACAACTACAGTAAATATAGTTACTCAGAGGTTTGAACGGCGTGTTACTGCTTTTCACTTATGATATTTAAATAAATGCAAAACAATTACTACTGTAGATTGGGAAGAAATGCCCATATTTGTTTTTGCAAGTTTGAGTCCGGGTACTGGCGTCGTGACTTTCGGCAATACCACCAAGCAATATTAGTCGTCGGAGGTGGTTATGGTAGCACCAAAGTAATCAAATGTGATCAATTAAGCACCGCATTTTCGAAATGTCTTTCAACAGAACAAAACGTACAAGAAAAAAAAAAACTGTGAAAATACTGTATACTGTGTTGATGTGAAAAGTGTGTGATTTTAAGTAGAATGCTAAGGGAGATGAGGCGGCTTATAACTGGTATAGATGATCAAATAGAATTATTATTACACTTATTATTATTCTCATCGTTGCTAAGGGAAGAGCACGGGGTGAAAATAATTTAGATTTCATTATCAAACGACCACATGTCGCCCGCCAACGCAGTGGCACAACCCTGAATTGTCCAGGTGGCCAAGGCAAACTGGTTGCGGAACTGGTCGACATCGGCTTCCGGGCTGTCTGTCCTGAGAGCGTCAAGGTGGTTGGACAGCCCTTTGAGTGTGTGCGGACCAGAGCCGAGCAGGATGTGACGGAAAGGACTTTCTCTGGCAGACACGTATGCTGACAGTAAGTTCCTCTCCACCTGTAGATGGCGACGGAACGCGGGATGATTGAGGTTTGTTCATTTGACCATTTCCGTATTCACGCATTCACTTGTACAAGCGAGACCTCAGCAAAGAGGTGAAACTTAGCAGGTCTTACCGACATGATGCGGTCGTTGTAGATGCGGCACATCTCAGTGTTGCTCAAGTCACTGTTTTGGATGCTTTTCATCAGGTTACGAGAGGCTCGACCGTAAGAGCCGGAGGCTGACATCAACCACTGCACCGATGTGGGCACCAGATTAGGTTGCATCTGGACACATGGGACGCACAACCCTCGGTTAGGTTTAGAAAGCGTGTTCAGAATGTCTCTGTGCACTTGTAGATTGATTAACGGACATCTTTTAGAAGTGTAGAACGCAAATGATGATCTGCATGAAACGCCTCTTTTGGAAAATTAAGCAGATGACGTGAAATGGCCCCTTGGCAAAAACTGATGAATGAAAAAAAAAATCAAGACTGAAAACTAAAATAATCAAGTATTTCGATGACAATAAATCCCATTTTACCAAAATTGCATGACTCAATCCAGCAAATAATGAATTTTCAAAAATGTAGGTTTCAGTGGTTCGTACTGGCCAAAAGTTACAATAAAAACGGTCAAACACGGTTGACCACGCCTAGCCTCAGTTCGACACCTGTGGATTTGCACATTTGTGGATGTTTTTCCCCTTTTTTTCCCTTCAATGTAAAAACTATTTTCGTAATATTTACGAGACCCCCCCCACCCCCAAAAAAAAATCAAGACTGAAAACTACAATAATCAAGTATTTAGATGACAATAAAATCCCATTTTACCCAAATTGCATGACTCAATCCAACAAATAAGGAATTTTCAAAAATGTAGGTTTCAGTGTTTCGTACTGGCCAAAAGTTACAAAAAAAGCGGTCGAACACAGTCGACCCCGCCTAGCCTCAGTTCGACACCTGTGGATTTGCGCATTTGTGGATGTTTTCCCCTTTTTTTCATTTCAATGTAAAAAATAATTTTCGTAATATTTACGAGACCCCCCCCACCCCCATTTCTTCCAAGTTTTTTTCATGAAAAACACGTTTATCAGTGTTTGTTGAAGAATTTTGGGGGTTTGTAAAAATACTGTTCTGCCCCCTTCCTCATTTCACTGATCATCAATTATTCACGTCATTTTCATGATTCGCGGCCCCTGCGATTAGCACGGGTCGACTCTATTGATCAACTTCACTCAAATTAGCAAAGTGATTAAAAAAAAAAAAACAAGACCTACCCTCTGTACAGTGTTGACTTTCCTGTTAATCTGAGCCACGTGAGTCCGAATAATCTTGTCATACTTTGACAGGTCCATCTGCAGCAGATGGTCATGGACCAACCTCAGCACGATGTGACCTGCAAACTTGGCAGCCGCTTCAGCCAGCTGCAGATGCTGGTTGGACGTGGCAGTGATCAACTTCTCCTCGGTATCCAGCAACGTGCCAAAATAGGGATAATCCTAGAGAAGGAGCCCAATTGAAATCCATCCAATAACTGGAGACATTGTTGCAGGTCAGATATATTTGTTGTCTGTTGAAGCACGAGGGGCTGACTTACTAAATTGCCAGAAGTGAATTGAAACGACAGGGACGGGATGCCCGTAAAGGCAATGAAAGGATAAGCGGCATTATCCAGCTTCAGAGGTTCCAACCTAAATAGACGTGCAGATTTTTCAACGTGGAGGTTGAGACGGCGGGCCTACGCATTGCAAGTAACGCTGCGATACCGCACCGATGTACTGGAGGTAAAGGAAAAGAAACGTACACGTTGGATTCCCAGTTGCCCTTTCCAAATTGAGAGAAGAGGGACACGGCCTGATTCTGGACGCCCACCTGAGGAGTAAACAGATACACATGCTGTTGCGTGTGCTAATATCATCGACCACCGTGGGGAAAAAGTGGTTCCGATAATTCCGAAAACACATGGCGATTCAAGATTCACCTCTTTGAGAGTGCGTTCAATCAAGCCGTACATCATAGGACTTGCTGCCACTTTAAAACCATTGTGACCTGGAAGGGGGTTGATTTATTCATGAATTCAGAAAATACGTATGTCAGTATTCATATCGCAAAATGAACCTTTTGAAAGGAATGCTTGCGATAACATTTCAAACGACGGTACATACCGGCTATAATGCCGTCAAGGTTGATGTAAGAGAAGGCTTTCATGCTAAGAGAAGAAAGATAGCCCTGCAAACGAGAAACAGATCGTAGTATATACGAGTGCATTTGGAGATCACTGTACAATTGGATCATTCAAGTAACCGCAGAAGCAAAACGTATTGTGTAATTCCCACCTCCAGCCATTCGGTGGCGCCAATGCTCCCATATTCTCCCGCACTCCAACTCGCAAACACAATGCTCCTCCTTGGCTTGAACCGGTCTATTTGAAAGATAAAACGGGCAAGCGTGTGACAAGGAAGGCACGACCGTTTCAGCGGCGGCATAGCGGGAGTCACAAACATCTTACTCTTGTGCAGCATGTCCGAGATTGAACGAGCCATTTCTAACAGAACGCCGGTGCCGACGGTGGATGCAGCAAAACCCGGACCCCAGGCATCCCTCTGGGCACCGATAACCAGATATCGATCTATAGCCAAAGCACAGGCATGTGATATTCATTTGTAACGTGCACATTGGAACATAGTAGTCGTGGTAATTGTAAATGTTAAATCAAATGTTTTGCGCACCCGCGTCCACAAAGCCTTCGATGACGCCAAAGACGTTGTTGATCTTTTTCTCAGAGAGAACGTTGTTCACCTCCACAGTGATGACGTCACTCTCACCACCAAGTTTGTTGAAAACGCCCCACTCTTCTGGTGCATTCTGACCTTCCAACTGTCTGTGGGGAGGAACACAATAGATTTGTTCCGTACAATGTACACCAACTAACATCGGAGACCGTTCTAAACTGCTATTTAAAAAAAAAAAAAAAGGGGGCGTGGGGGGCAGCATGAAAAGTGTGGGTGTCGCAATACCCACATACTACTATGACCGCTACTACTAACGATAATACATTGCTTTTGTTGAAGCTTTTCTCGATACGCAAAGGATGTATAATTTCCAGTTACAATATTTTTTTTAAAAAATTCTCATCGTGCTAAATTAAGACAATTAAACGGGAAGTCAGGTCAAGACTTTTCTTGACAATATGTCCTTTGCTGGTTTAAACACAGCGTTCTGATGTACATTGCTTTAGTGGAATATGAACTAAGGCATTTTTAGACCGTTCATGGGGCAGCCATTTTGCCACTTGCTGTCCACTGAAAATCACAGCGCCCGAGGGCTCGGCTTGTGAACGTCACGCGACCAAAACCCCGAGACAACAGGCGAGCCGTGATTGGTCACTCACCCGAGCCTTTCGGCTCTGTGATGTCATTTCCAGTTGACGGCAAGTAGCAAAACGGCCGCCCCCAGCGACGGATAAAAAGCTTTGTAAGCCTTACCCGAGAATGCTGGTGGCCGTGCGTGCTGTGATGGTTTGAGCCAAGATACTTGGCAGACCTGACGACTTGGCGGGTGGAAACTGGGTGTGATTAAAGGAGGGGAAGCCAGGGGTATAGGGATCCCCTGAACCTAAATGCACCTTAGAGAGGAAACAAAGTTCGACAGAACAAGGTTAGGACATCGCATAGCTCCCAGACATGCCTTGTCTTGTTATTACTATTATTTTTTTTTGCAAGCACGACATTTCACAAACAGGCACAATTGTGAAATTATGTGCATGCGATAGTGTAGAAAAACAATTGAATGTCTACATTAATTGGGACCATTTTATGCGCGTCCCGTTTTTTTTTTTTTTTAAATGTATCAGACCAGGCCTCGGCAGATCCTTAAAACCAAAGAGACTTGAACTCTCAGACTCGGGTGCCAAGAAAGTCTGCTCGGGGCATCCCCAACTCACATGTCCAAAGAGCTGAGTGGTCCCTTCAGAAGGATAATCAGCTGGGTCTTGGTAGATCAGTACGGCAGAGGCCAACATTTTGGCAGCATTGGCCACCTGAAAACACAAATGAAAGCAGTTAATTACACACCGCAGGTTGATTGTCGATGATCAAAGACAATTTCAGTTGCGGAGACAGTTTTTAACAACGAGCAGCGTCCCACCTTTTCCGCAAAGCTGATCTTTCCAGCTCGGATCAACATCACTCTGCCACTCATGTTGATGTTTCTGTCCCGCAGCAATCTAAAGTCGCTTTCCTGTCCATAGTAGGCGTACAGAACAGCTCCCTGGATAGGACAAAAATATTCATCTCCTACTATCGCTCTGGGATCCCCCATGCAGATGTTACTTTGCATTCAATTAACTTTCAATAATAAAAAATAAAAAGGTTGCCCTCCCCCCCCCCCCCCCCCCCAACCTTCAATCTTCAATACCTTTGCAATTCCATTAGCACTGTAGGACAGAAAACCTTCTGGACGCTCTTCTTTGCCATCCTTGAAAATAACTTTGTTGGAGCCGGAAAGCGGCCGATCCTGAACTTTAATGAAGTGCTCGTCGGTCCAGGTTTTCAGGCCGTACTCTTGAAACTTCTTGATCACTTTGTCGGCCAAAGCATCATCGCCTGGGGAACCAGCCCGATGGCTGTCACTTGACAACTCTCTAGGAAATAAAGAAAGAAGAGAGTTTTGAAAATTGACACAAAAGAAGTGGTCGCGTGGGTATGTTCCACCTTGGTTTCACTGAACCATGACGAAATCACGAACACACACGTGGGACAATGTGTCACGGTCCGACTAGTGTGCGCGCGTGCACGCGTGTGCGCATTTCTGAGATGCATTTTTCCATTATTGGCAACTTTCTCACAGCAAATCTCATGAATAAGGTATGGGGTCGACTTTCACCTGAAGGCACGTTGGAAGTTGGATGCACTCAATTTCTGGGCAAATGCATTCTTGACATCATTCCAGGCCATGAGGGGGGCAGCTCCTGTGTCGTGAAAGACGGGCTCATCGGGCAATTGCACGGAGGCTTGACAGCTGTAAGGCGCGTCTCTTTTGCGGTGGACCAAGTAGCCAATCAAGTACCCTGAAAGTAGCAGGAGTTAAAAATTAGAGGTAAAAATAATACATCTCGGCATTGAATGACAATATCGGAACCTTGGAAACTGCAAGTGTCACATTGTGTTTCACTCAATAAGCCAAATACCTCATTGTAAAAAGACAGCTTCAATTAATAATTCAATTAAGAAGTAACAGAGTGTGAAAATTGCTTTTTATTTTACTTTTCAATCATTTTGAATTTGATGCCTGCCTGCCTCTTTCCCAGACTTGCTTGATCTGTAACTCAAGACGCTCAACAGTCCAGATCTCCGTTGTCGTACTTGGTGTCTGTCTTTCAACGGCAGGCAGGTCTGGACTGATGGCAGGCCAGTCTAGAACTTGCACTGCTTTACTATGATGCCACGCTGTTGTAACGAATGCAGAGTTCAGGTGGGCAATGCCTTGCTGAAATAAGCCCTCAGCATTCCGGGTCTTTTATTGGCCCTGTCACAGCATTTTTGGATGTGTTGCAGGCATCAAATTCAAAATGAGAGAATTCTTGACGTCTCATTGTATGTGGGAAAGAAACCCAAAATGGCACCTGCGCTTACCGATGATAAAGATGAGGAGGACAGTAGCGATGATAAAGCAAAGGTTCTTCGGCGTGCGTCCAAATTTTGAAGTCATGTAGGATTTGTGGTTGGAATTATGGTTGAGGTGGGCGCCCACCCCATTTCCGCCGACTTCTTCATCCATGTCAGATGAAAGTTTCATCTCCACTTGACTGTTGTCACCTTCCATGTTCTGGGTCAAGTTGAAACGTGTATACGAATGCGGTTCTCCATTAAACTACAGCAGAAGGAGAAGAGTATGAAATCAGCCTCCTGGTAGATTCAAAGCACCAAACCTTATGATTTCACAAGATTATTTGAAGTCTGATGTCAACTGAGGGTTGTATCTTGTGTACAAGTAGAAAGAACAACACACAACAACAAAAAACAATGCATTGACACATGCAGGTATGACCCAGCGTCTAGAAAATTCTCAAGTGTATATTAAGAGTAATGAGAAGAAAATAAATTCAAGAATAACTTTAGACATGGATCACTATAAAAATGTAATGCAAAAAAAAAAACTTGACAATTTCTGTCATGAAAATAAATTTCCATTCAACCACGTATTTGGCTTAACTGACTGTCGCATCCCTTCATTTATTCATTTTAAGTACCGGTAGCTATTTTTGGGGCACATTGTTTTATCAAACATCCAAGCACCAGATATACACTATAAACAAAACGATTATTTAACAATGAATGCAAAAATACTCACAATTTTAGTTATTGTTGACCTTGCTTGGTCCATTGTTGCTTGACGGAACTCTAAAAAAAAAAAGGAAAGAAAAACAAACAATTAATGTCCCACTGAAGTCTTGACTTGGACAACCCAAAAAACTTCAAATGAAATAGATGAGTTAGTATAATAACAATGATAATAATAATAACCAAAAAAGCAGGGAGACAGGAGAAGCAGGGTGTACTGAACCTAAATGTATTCACAAAAGCACTCACGCGGGTACACTGAAAAAACGAAATCGAAAGCACGAACAAAGTCGTGAAAACCCCCCCCAAAACTTAAGGTAACAACTTTCCCAAACAAATCTTTCAGCTTCCTCCCCATCGTTGCTTCGGCACACAAAAGACGACGCTGGTTGAGAACATTGTTCACCGCAGGCTCCATGGGAACTCAAATGCCAAAATGCGCAACAACTGGCTTCCCGCTCACTTGAGGCGACGCAACGAAAGGTTCAAATTTAACAAAACAGTGAGACCTGAAATGCAACTCTTATGTATGTTTGTACTTATTTCCCAGTTCGAAAGCGGTGAAAAAAACAGACGTGCAAGTGGTCACCTGAGAGGAGTGCATCCTCGGGTCAAGTGCCTCTCTCAGGGAACGATTTTCTCAGATGAAATGAAATGATGACTTGAAACGAAACAGCAAACCAAGTAAGCGAATGATTAAATGCGAACCGCGGCCCGAAGTAGAAAGTGGTAGTTTGACCAGAATCCGTATGCGGAGCTGGTCGACTTTAGTTGCGGTCATCCACTGAACTTTGACCTCTAATGAGTGAAAGCGACATTACACCCAACAGCCTGGTATGACCCTGAGGAAAAAAAAAAAGTCAATCCTAGCCGACAGCCTCGGACTTATTAACGCGAGCGCAAGGTTTTTCCCCAACATATCTCAATAATCATTGTCGGTGGAAGAGTCTCACTGCGTGTCCTTTGGTCTAAACAAAGCACTTCAAACGACGTTTCAGAATTGAAAGTGGCCTGGAAGAGGTGCGCGGTGATCCGCAGCTAAATGGCAGAGAGACTTTAGCGGACATTGCGTGAGGAGATCTTGTGCGGGCAAATGCCAAGAGGCCACGAATGAGAGCGCAAGGAGGCAGGTTTGGCCTTATTGACGTCGCAACCATTGCCAAGTCCAACTGTGCTTCCAGGAATGAGCTTTTATTTACGTGCGCGTTGCTCTTGTACCATCAATCAAGTCAAACAATGTGCCTAAAGCTCGACCGCATCGATGGCTCTGTGAATATTTTGACCGGCTATGACAGTTGTTTACATTTAGATCGTTAACAGCGCCTAACACAGTCCCTTGTTATACAATCAAAGCCATTCGAAACATCGCAAGGAACACATTTCAACAAATACTTCCCATTTCTGATACGGAGATGTGCTTGCAGTGCACCGTTGGAATCTATGCCCTTCAAAAAATGGCATGAAAGGGGAAAAAAAAAACACGCTTTATAAAGCTAATTGGTCACTTTTAGGCAGGTACAGTAATGTCTTTAATCTTACGTGCCAAACATACCACGCTTTAACCAAGCTAATACTTTAATCAGATTAACCGTTCTTTCACTTTCAGTTGACGGGCAGGCTGCCATTGCCAGCACACACTGTAAACAGACGCAGAAATTAAAATAATGAGCAGGAGCGCTAGAGGATCATCTTGTCAGTTGACCGGCGATCCATAAGGTGAGCATTTGACCGCTGCGGTCCGGTGAGGCGTGAGCTGTATCTATGATGAGTGAATTTTCAACTCACGTGTGGCAATCAGAGATAGTAAGTTGCGTCACACCCTTTGGGGAGCAACGCTTGCTGGTAAGTCAAACTTGGAAGGAGCTTGACGATTTGAAAACTGCGACAAGTTTTCGCACAGTGAGCCCACATTGACATTCCTGCCAGCTTTTGTTCAAGGCATGTTCCGAAGCATCGGTGGCTCTTTGTGCACCGAGCACACCTCTGAAGACAGTTTGAATGGTGAATTCTCCGTCCCCAGTGTCAAGAGTACACGTTCCTTAGGTACACAAGCAGCCCCTTAGACCAAACTTCAGGGACGTTCATTACAAGAGAAACATACCTCACAACTGACAAGGAGCTAAGTGTGAACTGAAAAAAAGTTAGAGAGGCAGATGGCATGCCAGGCAAAACGAAGCCAAAATATGAGGATGTCGGCAGGACGCGCACTGCCAGAGGAGACACGTCAGAGGGTTGCTCCTTGTGGATGAATGAAGTCTATCTATCGAAGTAAGGCTTGGGGCGCCCTGTAGGAACGGGTAAGTGGCACTGCTTGAGCAGTCACGGTGCCGCAACGGGGTCTTGAAGCGGGGAGCACCGGAGATTCTGGTGGAACACTGGCAAGTGAGCCATGAGTGGTGGAGGAGATTATTTGGAATGAACGCATGGGTTTACTACGCTACTGTATTTCAAGTTAGTCATCATGTGGTGCTTGGCGACTTCAGTATTGTTGTAGGTGGTACTTGGTGTAAAACGTTTGAGAACCTTCCAGCAGAATAAACATTTCCGGGTACAAGAGAGACTCAGCCAGCCGCCGTTGCCAAACCAGACCAAAAAAAAGTCTACTCTGCATTGTATTTTACGATAGAAACACCATCCACTCCGAGACGCGTCTCCAAAACCGTCACTTTCAGAAGACCAGCAATACAGCATGTTTGTTGAGCTGTCAAATCGGTAAAGGGAGTGCACTTAACAGTCTATCATGATTGCGCTACAACATCACGGTGCCCAAAGCGCTTTTCATTCAATGGTCAGGTGCTGCCACGCCCGATGAGAGCAAATTAGGGTCCAGTGACTTGCTCAAGAACAGCTGGAGAGCAGACAGGCGCAGTCGGGATTTGCACAGCTGACCCTTCACTCAATGGACAACCTGCTCGAGCAACTGAGCCACAGCATCGTCAAAAATAGCAAGTCATTTTCAACTTCCGAGATTCCAAAATATTCCTGAACCGAAATTTCCCATTAAAAAAAATAAAAAAAAAGAATGTGATTATAAGCTCCAGCAGCAGAACAAAGTTGCTTACCTTGTTTTTATGGGTTTAATAAATAGAAAGTGGAAATAGTGACCTGTCTAGAAATAAATGAAACCAAACTTTCATATGATGAAAGAATGTGGAAAAAAAACACATGTGCAGTGCTGCCTTTGTAGCTTGTAATCTTGTCGTTAAACCGATTTGTTTGTGAACAGAGTCGTTTGTGAACCGAGGTTTGACTGTATGTAAAAGAAAAAAAAAGTGGTGTTGAAGGGACAGAGATGGTGAGAAAAAACAGCAATTACTGAAGAAGCTGAAGAGCAGAGAGGTCGTCGGGTTAGGGGAGCACCAACCATTGTGCAAAGGCTAAATCATGTGAGAGTCACATTGGAAGAAAGCATGAGAAAGTTACAAAAAAAAAAAAGTAGGACACCGAGGCAGGCAAATCCCATCGTTTGGGAAAAATCCAAGCCCAAATTAGTGGACAGAAAACTCGGACAGTGATCCGAGGGCCCCTTTTGGGGTGTCAGATAGACATCGGTGACCTTGGAGTAAGTGCCACAATTGGGAAAATACAAAAATAATGATTGATTCTTCATCTCCCGAGCGGTGTTTCTGGGCTGCTCTTTACACACCACATGTTGCCAAGTCCAGTTACTACTTTCGAGATGTTTCCATAACAAACTTGTCAAGTTCACCTGCTGCTTATCTGAACAACACGACCTCGGCCTCCCAGTCTCCTTCACATGGCCGAATTGAGAAAATAAAACACCCGCTTTGCATTCTTGCTTGTGGCCTGCAGGTATTAGTCGGCATGGAGTAAAAGATATCTTATCTAAGAGCAAGGTCAGGAGACATCCACTGGAAGTGTAACGTCTAGCGAGTGACACAGTTCACCCCGGAGCTGGAAGGTCGCACGAGGGGAGCTAACTGGCAAAACACAGGCTAGACCCCCCCCGCCGTCGTCGTTGGTCGGCGAAGTGACAGCCGAGCTGAGTTGCTTCGGCAACGCGACGCGTGTATCCTGCCTATTGTGCGGATTTCCAGAACAACGTCGAATCTTAATTTGGAGCGTCTAAAACGATGCAAACGTGCGCGTTTGTATCGGCATTTGTGCGCTGACGGGCAAAGTGAGCGAAGAAACAAGGACATGACTAAGATATCGTTGAAATATACTCACATCGATACGATAGACATATAAATGCAGTATAGGTCGATAGAACCTAAAGTAATCCTCAAAACCCCTAAATTTGGACTCATATCGTCGACTAGCGCAATATTCATGCTTGATATGCACCATACGTAAAAAAAAAAAAAAAAAATCTTACCTTGTCTTGAAAATGTTCACTGGTGCTTTTTGACACCACAAGGGTTTTCTCCTTCTTGCTGCTTTTTGTTGCTACAGTTGTATGTTAAGCCGCGTGTCCTTCAGCTCGCTGCCCCCTGCTTATATCTGGTTACAACGAGGCCAGTAGGGGTGGGACAAGGTAGGGGGTGAACAGAGTCGTTTGTGAACCGAGGTTTGACTGTATGTAAAAGAAAAAAAAAGTGGTGTTGAAGGGACAGAGATGGTGAGAAAAAACAGCAATTACTGAAGAAGTTGAAGAGCAGATAGGTCGTCGGGTTAGGGGAGCACCAACCATTGTGCTAAGGCTAAATCATGTGAGAGTCACATTGGAAGAAAGCATGAGAAAGTTACAAAAAAAAAAAAGCTGAAGAGCAGAGAGGTCGTCGGGTTAGGGGAGCACCAACCATTGTGCAAAGGCTAAATCATGTGAGAGTCACATTGGGGGAAAGCATGAGAAAGTTACAAAAAAAAAAAAAAAGTAGGACACCGAGGCAGGCAAATCCCATCGTTTGGGAAAAATCCAAGCCCAAATTAGTGGACAGAAAACTCGGACAGTGATCCGAGGGCCCCTTTTGGGGTGTCAGATAGACATCAGTGACCTTGGAGTAAGTGGCACAATTGGGAAAATACAAAAATAATGATTGATTCTTCATCTCCCGAGCGGTGTTTCTGGGCTGCTCTTTACACACCACGACATGTTGCCAAGTCCAGTTACTACTTTCGAGATGTTTCCATAACAAACTTGTCAAGTTCACCTGCTGCTTATCTGAACAACACGACCTCGGCCTCCCAGTCTCCTTCACATGGCCGAATTGAGAAAATAAAACACCCGCTTTGCATTCTTGCTTGTGGCCTGCAGGTATTAGTCGGCATGGAGTAAAAGATATCTTATCTAAGAGCAAGGTCAGGAGACATCCACTGGAAGTGTAACGTCTAGCGAGTGACACAGTTCACCCCGGAGCTGGAAGGTCGCACGAGGGGAGCTAACTGGCAAAACACAGGCTAGACCCCCCCCGCCGCCCTCCGTG